GAAGTCACTGCCTTGAAGATTAGACAGTCCTTTAAGATTCAGGCAGATGACTAACCTCTGGGAGACACAGAGAATCTGGAATTGAAATGATAGCCTTTGCTCGAATATTTTCAAGAGATGCTCCCTTATTGCTTCTGATATCTGCCTAATCCTGGCCTTGTCATTTTCTTGAGATCTCATTGTCAAAAAGGCTTTGTTGTCTATTTACTTCTTCCCCTGCTGACCATCTCAATTTTTTCCCCCCTCTCAGCTTAGCAACCTACTCTATGTTCCTGCCCAAGCCAGCTGATAGGCCCCCCCCTCACAGGAAGCACTTAATCTTCACATTATATCTGAGCATTCTACTCAGCTTCACCGAATTGACAGTAGAGACCACGCTGACCACACATAGACACTCCGTATTCAGTTGTTCAGAATTTTTAAAAATTATACTTTTGATTTCAGAGAGGGAGGGAGAGGGAGAGAAACATCAATGATGAGAATCATCGATTGGCTGCCTTCTGCACACTCTACTGGGGATGGAGCCTGAAACCCGGGCACATGCCCTGACCAGAACTGGTGACTTCTTGGTTTCTGGGTTGACGCTCAACCACTGAGCCACACAGTTGGGCAGATTGTTCAGAATTTGATACCTCACAAAGGAATTAGCCACTTTTCAGCTTGAGGGTGAGAAGTGAAAACAAAGAAACCTATATAGGTACAGTAATTAATTTTCCTGAGCTTAATTCAGTTGCTTGAGCAGTTATGACCTTTCCCTTAAAAAACTATCTTAAAGTAGCTTTTCAAAGTGCTATTCTGCAGGTTTCTAGACTTGTATTCATTAATTCAACAAATATAGCTTATCCAATGTTTTTAATCACATATTAAGTAGAGAATTATCTGCTGTGTGTGTATATGTTAGTTCGGAGGTTCTCTAGTTAATCTAGAACAGCAGCTGCTGTCAGTACCTGGCACTTGTTAGAAATGCAAATTCTTGGGCTCTACCCCAGATCTTCTCATTCAAAAATTCTAGATCCCATCAGTAGTTTAATGAGCCTTCCAGGTGACTCTGATGCATGCTAGTTTGAGAACCACTGCCTCACCCTGGCCGGTTTGCTCAGTGGATAGAGCCTTGGCCTGTGGACTGAGGGGTCCCAGGTTCGATTCCGGTCAGGGGCACATGCCTGGGTTGTGGGCTCGGTCCCCAGTGGGGGGCGGGCATGCAGGAGTCAGCCGGTCAGTGATTCTCTCTCATCATTGATGTTTCCATCTCTCTCTCCCTCTCCCTTCCTCTCTGAAATCAATAAAAATATATTAAAAAAAAAAAAAAAAAAAAGCCCTAACAGGTTTGGCTCAGTGGATAGAGTGTCGGCCTGCGGACTGAAGGGTCCCAGGTTCGATTCCGGTCAAGGGCATGTACCTTGGTTGTGGACACATCCCCATTTGGGGATGTGTAGGAGACAGCTGATCGATGTTTCTAACTCTCTATCCCTCTCCCTTCCTCTCTAAAAAGAAATCAATAAAATATATATAAAAAAAAATGTTGGGATTATTTCTAGTAATCCAAGCAGTTCCATTGTCTCTTGTGATGGCTCATCAATTGCACAACAGAAACAGAAGCAGGAAGTTCTTTCTTCTATTTGGAAAACTAACACCCAAGAACCAGCACTCCTTTGCCACTTCAGAGGATAAGTTTTGGATTTTATAATGGATTAAGATTCTTATTTTCTTCACCAGTAAAACTATTTATTCATTCAAGCTACAACTTTATGATTAAGGTTTTAGGACTGTTAGGCTGAAAGGCGAGAGCACCTCAAATCATCTTAAAGGGGCAAACTTAAGCAAGTTGGACAAGAGTTCATAAGCCAATGATTAGTCATCTCTAATTCTAAGTAGTAATAGGTTGTGGTTAGGGGATCAGAACAGGTAAAATATTTAAAAGTATATGTTGGATATAACTGAAAATTTTGAGAGGAGTGAAATGTGTACATAAATAAAGTCTAAATGTCACTATAATTTCTTTAAAAAAGAATTCAGACAAAATTTAGAAATAATGAAGTCTTAAAATTTCAACTGTCCTATAATGACTGAACCAAGTATTAGATATCCAAAAATGTTCCAGGCATTGAGAACATAAAAATGATTGGAAAATAAAATTAAATCTTATCATGTATCATGTTAATATAATAAATTTTTTGACTTGGTTAATGTCAAATGAGATAATGAACAGCAGTTAGAGAATAGCCTGCATTTTTACTTCTGAATATTCAAAACAATTAAAAAAAATTTTTTTAATCCTCACCCAAGGAAATTTTTCCATTGATTTTAGAGAGTGGAAGAGAGAGGGATAGAGAGAAATATCAATGTGAGAGACACACATCTATTAGTTGTCTCCTGCACGCACCCTAACCGGGGCCGGGGCGGAGCCTGCAATTGAGTTAAGTGCCCCTGACCGGAATCAAACCTGGGACCCTTTGGTAGGCAGGCCAATGCTCTATCCACTGAACCAAACAGGCTAGGGCTCAGAATCGTGTGAAAGTGTAAAACAGACAAAGGAGAAGTTTTAGGGTGAACGGCATGCTCCAGCTCCTGAGTTCACTGCTTCTGAGCCTGGGGTTGCAGGCTGCTCTGAAGGTGTGCAGGTGCCCTCTGTGCTTATTCAGCAGTTTCCTTTTGAAGACTGAAGCATTCACATCCGGCTGGTGTGGCTCAGTGGTTGAGCGTCAACCTATGAATCAAGAGGTCACGGTTCAATTCCAAGTCAGGGCACATGCCTGGGTTGCAGGCTTGATCCCCAATGTGGGCATGCAGGAGGCAGCTGATCAATGATTCTCATCATTGACATTTCTATCTTTTTCTCTTTCTGCCTTCCTCTGTGAAATAAATATATTAAAAAAATAAAAAATAAAAAGACTGCAGCACTCGGCCTGCCACTGAAGACTGATCTGCAGCCCCATTGCCACTGAATGGGTAGGAACAACCAATGAGTGGTCTTAAGCTGTTCTTCCACAGAATGGAAAGACGGTTAACAAAAGAAAATAAACATCTTCTGAAAAAAAAACCACAAAAAACAAAAAAGGGCAAACACAGGTGCTCTTTCCCTCATTTTCTTTAAAACCAAATTTTCTATATGTAACTTATTTTCCTAGCTTAGAAATTTACCTTCAAGAAATGATATAATAGCCCTAACTGGTTTGGCTCAGTGGATAGAGCGTCGGCCTTCGGACTGAAGGGTCCCGGGTTCGATTCTGGTCAAGGGCATGTACCTAGGTTGCGGGCACATCCCCAGTGGGGGGGTGTGCAGGAGGCAGCTAATCGATGTTTCTCTCCCATCGATGTTTCTAACTCTCTATCCCTCTCCCTTCCTCTCTGTAAAAAATCAATAAAATGTATTAAAAAAAAAAAAGAAATGATATAATGGAAAGATTTATCTATTTTTCTCCATGCTGCCAGTATTATGATGATTTAAATATCTCTGGGAAAAGTAAGTCTGAGAGGTGAACTTTATAATTATTTTTCTCATTTAAAAACATTCTCTATTAAAGAACTACCTTCTTTGCTGTCTTTTAGTTAAAAGTTTAGCTCTAAGACTTTCCCTTAAGAAACAACTTTCCAACCACCCTGTAATGTTTCATCTTACTCTAAAGATGGGGAAAATAACTGTACAATTATGGATCAATCTGTAATCTGACTTCAGAGTTCAACAAACCATAAGACCAGAAACAGCAACTTAAAAGACATATCACTTAACCATATATTACTTTAAATCAGAGCTTTTCAACATGGGTACTACTGACATTCTGGGTTACATATAATTCTTTGGAGTATGGGCTATCCTATGCAATGTAGAATGTTTAGCAACATCCTTGGCCTCTAGCACCTACCTAGATGCTAGTAAGCACTCACCCAGCTGTGACAAGTAGAAATGTCTTCAGACACTGCTAAATGTCCTCTGGGGATAAATTCACCACCTGATTAGAAACACTGTTTAACAGTATATCACATTTCCTACTTTTTCCACTCAACAGCTAATCAACTCTTATGTATCCACTCAATTCTGAAGGAAGTACACAGACTAATAAAAAATACTATTTTTAATTAAACAAGGCTTAACTTAAGACATCATAGTGACATCTACTGGCTTGGTACTAAACTGTACACTTGATATATACTGTAAAAACCCTCAATATTATAATATGGGTGCTCTTCGTAAAAAGTCGAACAATTCACTGAAAGCAGTAACATTAACATCAGAACTGTTAATTTTATGTAAAGCCTTCCATAGATAATATCAACTGTCAATTGCTTCTTAGTTTTTTATGTACTCTCTGTTGGATAAATTGAATTTTTTTTTAAATATATATTTTATTAATTTTTTACAAAGAGGAAGGGAGAGGGATAGAGAGTTAGAAAC